AGAATTGGGCATTGAATCTTTTCCCAATAGTAAGTACAGGTAACTGTTTTGTAACGGATAAATTATTTATAAACTCCGACCGATCGTGATCATTTTCCAGCTCTATAAAATATTTTGTTTCATTAGCAGTAAGATAAAACTAAGAAGAATACTGATATAAAGTTTACAGTAAACATACATTTTTCGGTATTGTAGTTATCTGGGTATATGTTGACTTCCAAAATGACCAAAGAAATAGAATGAACAAAACGTGATATGGAGCGAAGAAAAATGCTCTAAAATAATGGGATATTATTCAACGGACAACTTACACAATAAAAATGTACTGGTGATTAAATCTATATAATAGTTCATGAGATTACAAAACAGTTGAATTTCAACGTTACCTTGGATTACAACAAAAGTAACCACATAATATGACCAACTTATAATCAGCAAAACAAGTGCAGCTGGAATCGCTGAACAGAATTTGCTTAATTCTTGCACACATAATGATAAACGGTGTTTAGAATACACATCTGGAAGATAGACGTATTTCTTCTGATTTCCAGTCATCACATTATTACAAATATCTAGCAAGATTATATATATATATACAAAAGCAAATATTATCAATTAAAAAATTAACTTATAAAAGTTTAACACAAGTAAATGTCAATTGGAACCAAAAGTATACAGCAGGAATATGTATGGTGCTAAAGAGAAGTGAATTTAAGCGTTATAGAGATCTAATCCTTTTCTTGCGCCTCCTGCAAAATCTGAGTAATACTTTGGATAAGGCAAGAGTCATGACTTTTGGGACGGCAGTTTATAAATACAGCAAAAACAGTCCGAATTCGGTGAATTTTCACACAGAGACATACCTTGAGAACGAGACTTACTTTGAGGATTATGGGTGAACTCAGTACCGTGTAATAACTCGTTCTTCATGCCAGATAAAATTATATTATTTATATGACCAATACAAAGACTTAAGAAATCCTACCACTAAGTTATTAATCTTTTACTACACGTAATTATAAATATACTATCCCCAAGGGAAATTTCGAAGTTAGTAATTAATATTCAGGCCGAGCTGATGTACGTACGTACGAAGTTCTACGTTGTTACTGACTGACGGATTCAAACAGAACATTTGGGTATTGATGTACGGGCCGGGATCAGTTGTGAAGTGTAACAACACATCTCGATTTATACATCCCAATGGTAAGGTGCTATTCTTTTTTTGTCAGAGCATCCTGTAACTGAATACTTTCCGTACTCTCCAAATATATTATGCCTGTGTAGCTAACATTAGAGCGAGCAGGTGCATCACAGACTATAACAGCTAATGTGTTTCCTTTAGGGACTGTCATACATCCTGATGGCACACCTTACAACTAGGTCAAAAGATATTAAGACAAAGTTTTGAAATCGGTAGACGTTTTTTACAGACATCCACAGAGGTAGACCACGTAGCTAGTAATAAAATATGTAGTTGGTCAAGCACAACACACGTTAATGTAGGAATTTCCAGATTTTATTTACCAGTGGAATGGTCTACTTTACAAAAGGCTTAAGCATCCATTAAACATTCACGAATGTACAACTTGCAAGATGAATGGACTGACACTGCAGACCAGAAGGCCCAAGACGTAAATGCTGTAATCATTGGCCGAGAGGTGTTTAACGAAAGTTTGAATACTTGTATGATTCTGCTTATTTATATGTAACAAAAATGCAAGCTGTTTGTAACCACGATGTTTATCTAAAGTTCATACTGCTGGAGGAACCTACTTCATCAGCATCCAAGCCTAATATCTGTAAGACTTTCCATCAATTACTTCAACGAAGAATGACATCGCATCAATTTCCGCACTAGCCTAGTCGCGAAGAAACAAGAGAGTAGGTTGTGTGAAATTGTCGCCATGCTTACAGATTAACGAAAATACGCCCAAATTTGCCAAGTTTTGTCGTGGTTGTCTCTAATTTGTTTGCTAATTTTAAGATATCAAATATAAAAAGTGCGCCAAATAAGAATACACCCCCAAATGCCTTGATACGGCCGAGGGTGGGAAGACTCAATTCTCCGTCTTGAAATGCTCTCACATGGCCACGCGTATAGTCACTGCCAGGGAAGTTCTCCTCACTGCCTTCTCGGGGCGGGGGTGTTGTTTACGAAATAAAGAGGACAAAAAGCGGATGTCTGGCGCTTTAACCAGGTTGGTGGACATGGAATGCCCACCTAGGGAAGTTGGGAAACTCTGATTCCAGACCAATTTATTATTTATTTATTTGAACACATGAATATTGGTACAAGAGAGCGCCAATATATATGCGCCACACAAAACAATGAGAATTCGAAGAGAAGTAGAAAAAAAAACTAAGGAGCGCAAAAGAAAAAGAGAACAATGACGAAGAGATTGGAGTAAGGTAGTGTGGTGGTAACGACGGAACGAAAAGGTACAATCAGAAGAAATCTTTCAGGTAAAGGAGACAATCACTTTTTATGAAGAAAGTAAAAGAAGGTTACAGCAGGATCGCCACTGGCTTCTATTCTGAGCCATATCTGATAACGTCTCTAGCCACTGTGTAGCACCATCTCTCAGACCCCAACCAGGGAGTCGTGAAGGACCAACAGAAGTCAGTCCTTTGCAGCTTTCTTTCATACCACGACACCATGTCATGCACTGACCACCTCTCTGCTTCTTCCAACCAGTCCCAGAGTCGGCAAATAATGCACGACGTGAAATTCTCTGGGACGACATTCGGAGAACATGTCCAAGCCACTGAAGTCGGTATTTCAAGATGGTGACACCAATTGAATTATCATCTCTGTGCCCGAACACACGATGCCGAACCTCTGCATTACTGACATGGTGTTGCCACTGAATGTCAGCAATCCTTCGGAGACAGCGATGATCGAACACAGAGAGTCGTCTAACGTCCTCAACTCGGAGAGACCAGGTTTCACAAGCATAGAGCAAAACTGCTCTCACCGACGCGTTGTAGATCCGGCCTTTTACAGCCAGACTAACATCACGAAGGCGCCAAAGGTGGTCCAAATTGGTATAAGCCGCTCTGGCTTTCACTATACGTGCATTGATCTCATCACTCACACCTCCACCAGCACTTATGCAGCTACCCAGATACACGAACTTCTCAACTACGTCTATCTGCTCACCATCCAGGGTGAGTACAGGATTAGAATCCTGCCAGTCTTGTAGAAGTACCTTGCACTTCGAAGGTGCAAAGCACATACCATACCTACGGACACTGATTGCAAACTGATTAAGTGCGGATTGCATGCCTTGGGCATTATCGCACAGTAAGACAATATCGTCCGCATACTCAAGGTCGAGAAGTCTTTCTCCAGGCAACAGATCCACACCACCATTACTTACATTCATCAGAGCTGTTTCCAGAATGTCATCGATGGCAAAGTTGAAGAGGAATGGTGAGATTGGGCAACCCTGCCTAACCCCACTGCTCGAATGGAACAATGGAGAGAGGTGGTTGTATGCCCTCACTCTGCCTGAGGTGTTTGTGTATAGGGCTTTCAGGATGTTAATAAACTTCTCAAGCACACCCTTCTTCAATAGACAATCCCAGAGAACAGTCCTATCCAACGAATCGAAGGCAGCCCTGATGTCAAGAAACACTACGATTGTTGGCCATTGAAAAGTATGGCGGTGTTCTAACATTTGGCGGAGGGTGAAGATATGATCAATACATCCTCGACCAGAACGAAACCCAGCCTGCTCCTCGCGAGTCAATCTTTCTCTGGTTTTGAACAACCTACGAAGAATGACGGAAGCCAATAGCTTGGACGCAATCGGAAGTAAACTTATCCCCCGATAGTTGTTACAGGAACGACGTGAACCCTTTTTAAAGATAGGGACAACTATCGACTCATTCCATGACGTTGGTATACTCTCTAGTTCCCAAACCTTTGTAAACAACGTCGTCAATTCCTTAGTTAAAAAGTCACCACCATCTTTAAAAAGAGCCGGAGGTAAGTCATCTGGGCCAGGTGATTTGTAACGCTTCAAGAGTTGGAGTTCCTTGCGGACTTCCTCCTCATTTGGTGGATCAGTCGTCACCGGCCATGGAGGGCAGGACAGTCTGACCGATGTTGCCGGAGCAGCAGGCCAGTTGAACTGCCCTTCGAAAAATTCTGCCCATCGTCCAAGACGTCGATGGATGTTAGTGATTGGCATCCCATCATCCTCGCAGATTGTTTCACTCACACCAGACTTCTTGCTGCCAGTGGCTCGGATGAGTTGGAAGAGCTTCTGGTAATTACCAGATGCAGCTGCTGCTTCCAGCTCATTAGCACGCTCCGACTACCAGGCTTCTCGGTCCTTACGCAAGCTTTCCCCAATTTCATTGCGTAAAATCCTTCGTTTGGGGTTAAACTCACGGTCACCCGGAGTAGACCGACGGGCTTCATTGAGTTGTAAGGAACCTGCAGAAACCCAGTGCTTAAAAGCGGGACGTTTCGCAAACCCACAACTGACTGTTCCCGCCATTTTCATGGCGTCATGCAATTGCAACCAATGCTCATCTATACTTTTCGGTGGAGTGGTAGCTAGCCTAGAGGCTAGCTCGGTTCAATACTTACTTGCAATAGAAGTTGCAACCAGCTTGCTAACATCAATCTTTTGGTGGTGGTCACTTCGTTGGCCACTGAAAAGTAAGGTAGGATTGGCGCAGACCAGGACATGATCACAGTCCAGATATGTACTACAAAAGGAACGGCAGTCTTGTACACAACCACACCAGCGGTAGATGATCGCGATGTGATCAATCTGAGTCCAGGTTTGAGATGCAGAGGGAGGACGCCAGGTGGCACATCGGCGATTACTGTACCGAAAGTTAGTGCTAGCCAGAAACAGGTTGTGGTCTGTGCAGAGTTGCAGTAGACGGTCCCCGTTATCTGACCTGCGACCAACGAGTCCCCATCGGCCACCTAAACGACTCTCTTCTGTGCCTAGACGCCCGACCTGAGCATTCAAGTCTCAGGCTAGTACTACAATATCTGTCGAACGCACTTTCTGGAGAAGAACTGATAACTGGTGGTAAAACTCATCCTTGGTTGCATCCGGGCTGCAATCTGTCGGGGCATAGGCGGAGATGACGAAAAGACATCGTTTCTCACGCCGATTTCTTCTCACTTTGATGGAACTTTCTAATCTAACAGCACATAACCGACTGGTAATGGGGATCCAATCGACTAGTGCTGCCTCAGCTCTAGAGCTTAGTGCGACACCAACGCCAGCAAGACCAGACGAAGATACCACAGGGTCCCCGGATAAGCGCACGTAAAACAAGCTTTTCGAAGCGACAGATGGAGATCGAATTTGTAGTACTTCGCCAGAGTCTTGAATACGGGTCTCGGATAGACAACACACGTCGATATTAAGACTTTCCAAAGACATAGCCAGCCCTATCTGTTGTCCGACCTGCATAAATGTGCGAACGTTGAAGGCAGCCAGTTTGAATGGTGCACGTGGTTTCAGAAAAACTGCTTCAGTCCTCGTATTCGGTGGTAACATACAATTTTCAACCGGACAGTGACTCGAGAACGTTTAGATACAGTCGAATTTCCGCCAAAGACGAGCCGCTGTATAAGTATAAAAGAGGGTGAATAATGTGGATAATAATAATAATAATAATAATAATAATAATAATAATAATAATAATAATAATAATAATGACAATAATAGTAGTAATAATAATAATAGTATTAATAATGACAATAATTGTAATGATAATAATCTGAATCAATTGTTTGTTTTTCAAAGCGAGAAAGGTAATTTCCATAGGCATAAAGAGTTCATCAATTTGTGTGTGGGCTGTGATACTGCCCGGGTGCCCAAACCGAAACAGGTGGTTATCTTAGGGGGCCACTCCCCGAGCCTTTGACCTAAAGGTCTAACCCACAAGGCAGTGGAGCATCGTAAGGAGATGCAGTCCCATGGTAGCCGGTGACCAACGATTGGTTCATACGCCATTTGTTCCTTCAGGATACTGGAGCCCATGTGCACCATTGATTTGGAATCCGGTTAAAGCGCCGGGCTCCAGGATCCTGAGGGGAAAACGGCGTATGAACCAATCGTTGGTCACCGGCTACCATGGAACTGTCAGTCAGTCAGTTAGATACAACGTAGGACCAGGCACATATATGCATCGGTCCAAGTTGCCATACCTCAGTAACACAACAAAATGGACACCGGATTCATAAAAGCAGTTAATTCAGAGGTGGTAATATATAAAAGAAAGATTGCACATAAAAACATAGTACAGCAAGAAAGAATTAGTTCGTAGAAAGAAAGATATGAATCAATCTTAATCTTTTAGTTTAAGGAAAGACAGAGAGTGTATACACCAACGCCATTGCGATCGATTCTGAACCACGTCACCAAGAGTCTCCAACCATTGGTTACGATAGTCACGCGGACCCCAACCAAGTAGTCTGCATCTCCCAACATGACTCAGACTAGAAATTAGTGACTTTAAGCACTGATGCCACGTTTTGGTTTGGCCGCCCCTAACCGACCGTTGTTGCTACCTTGATTTGGTGATCAGGCTTACCTATCGTGATGAACTAGTCAAGCTATACTGGCTTGAACAAACGTTCCTCAAGATCCCACTATGCTAGACACGTCGGTTAATGAGCGGTAAGACTGAAAGCAGCAAACCCAAGGTCTGAGGGCGAAGTCGTACTACTGACTGTACAGAGGTGTGACAGCAGTAAGGTGTTTCCTTCAGACAACCAACATGACAGCGATGCTGCCTTCCCACAAGGAGGGGTGGGGCCAGAAATGGTCGACCCTAAAGATGCACACCTCGCCTTATCCCACGGATACCCGTCTCCGGCGGTAAGGTCTCAACAAGTACGGAGCTAACACAAAAATTACCCATAAGAAGGTCGTGTGTGACCGACCTCAAGTAGTTGTCCCTCGAGCACTACGGTCACGCTCTCAGGTCACTAAGACCACCTCTAATTCAGTTTGCTTTTCAGGTACCTCTAGAAGAACCCTTTCACGATGTGGGCAACCGAGAAGTGATAACCACCCTCATACCTCTAACAGCACTCAAGACCACTGTATTCATAATCAACCTCCCCTCTTCAATTCCGTGGAACTGCATATCCTGACGTTGCTTCACTGCCTTGTGGATCATACCTTTAGGTCGAAGGCTCCGGATGTGGCCCCCTAAAAAGCCATCTGCTTCGGTCTGGGCAGCCGGACAGTATCCGAGCCCACACACAAATCAAGTGAGTTGTGTGACGTGTATGTATTCGGTGCCCCTTTGTACCAATATTTGTGTTCGAATAAATAATACGTCGAACAACGTCGCGGATTGTTGCAGTAACTTTTTTGAGATTTGATAGGCTGTATACTGCAATGCAGAACATATCGTCCGGTGTTTCTGACTTCAGTACCAACGTGAAGCAGCTACTGGCGAAGTCAGGTGAGCGTGAACATCCACGAAAATTCGAGTGCGGACTGTCAGGTCAACAGTTCCTTTTATCATTTGAAGAGAAACTGGGGACGTTGGACGCTTTTCTTCAGCAGAAAGACATAAAGGACAGATCCCGACCGTTGTTGCTACCTTGACGTGGTGGTCGGGCTTGCCTATCGTGATGAAGCAACCGAGCTATACTGGCTGGAACAGCCGTTCCTTAAGGTCCTACCATGTCAGACAGGTCGGTTGAAGAGCGGTAAGACTAAAAGCAACAAACCCAAGGTCCGAAGGCGAAGTCGTACTGCTGACTGTACAGAGGTGTGACAGCAGTAAGGTGTTTCCTTCAGACAACCAGCATGACAGCGATGCTGCCTTCCCACAAGGAGGGGTGGGGTTAGAAATGGTCGACCCTAAAAATGCACACCTCACCTTACCTCACGGATTTCCGTCTCCGGCGGTAAGGCCCTTTGAAGAACGGAGCTAACACGTCGAAAACCTTCCACAAAAAGGCCGTGCGCGACCGGCCTCAAGCAGTTGTCCCTTGGGCACTGCGGTCACGCTCTCAGGTCACTGAGACCACCTCTAATCCAATTTCCTTTTCAGGTACCTCCAGACGAACCCTTCCACGGTGTGGGCAACCGGGAAGTGATAACCGCCCTCATACCTCTAACAGCACCCAAGACCACTGTATTCATAATCAACCTTCCTCTTCAATTCCTATTATTCCTCCTACATCGACTTTCAACCCTAAACTTCCTCCTTCGGCTTCCTCCTCAAGTATCACCATAGCCAACGATTCTAGTGCTCAAAACTCTGTCCCAGGTCTACTGAAACCTCGCTCCAAACTACACATTGGAGCTTTCAACGTACGCACTCTATGTCAAATCGGTCAGCAGGCTTCCTTGGCTAAAACCCTAGAGTCTCTTTCCATTGATGTATGCTGTGTCTCCGAAACACGCATACAGGATCCCAGTGTGGTCATTCACTTGACCTCACCTCGGCAACACGGAGAGCCAACGAGATACACCCTTCGTGTATCTGGTGACCCGATGGCCAGTTCTCGTGGACTGGCAGGTGTAGGCATAGCACTAAGCATGAGGGCCGAACAAGCACTGCTAGAGTGGATCCCCGTCAACAGTCGTCTATGTGCTGTTCGGCTGAACGGCTCCGTAAGAACTCGGAAGGATAGGGACACACGTCGTTGCCTTTTTGTCGTTTCTGTCTACTCTCCCACCGACTGCAGCTCGGATGAAGTGAAAGATGAATTTTACAGAAAGCTGTCCGAACTTCTTCAGAAAGCTAAACGCTCAGACATAGTACTCGTAGGAGGTGATTTTAATGCTCAGATGGGAAGCTTAAACCAAACAGAAAGGCATTTAGGTGGATATTTTAGTATTCCGACACAGCGAACAGATAATGGTGATCGCCTGCTGCAGCTATGCTCAGACAATCGTTTATTTTTAGCAAATACAAATTTTAAGCATAAGGAGAGACATCGTCTAACATGGCGACCCCCTACACCAAACCAACGATGGACTCAAATAGACCATATTGCCATCAGTCATCGTTGGAGAGGGTCGGTAGAAGATTGTCGCTCATTCTGGAGTACCTGGTTGGACTCCGACCACGCCCTAATACGGGCACGCATCTGCTTGCGCCTCACTGGACGCAAAAAAGCCACAGTAAAAAGACCCATTAGGACCGAACTGAGTAGCGAGGAAACCAAAAGTAGGTTCCAGGAACAACTGAGGTCACGATTAGGTAGTTGTGAAGACGAGGCTGACCCAGATGTTGCTTGGAAGGGCATACAATCAGCTGTGGAAACAGCAGTGACATCTATTAGTGACTTAAACCACAGAGTTGCAAGGAACCAGTGGATTTCTTCAAGGTCTGTCACACTGATGGATTCTCGCAAACTCATCCCATCAGGTTCTGAACATGATGAAGAGCGAAAACAAATCAGATCTAGGTTAAGAAAAAGTCTAAGGAACGACCGTGAGCAGTGGTGGGTAACGAAAGCAAAAGAGATGGAAAAGGCGGCGACTATAGGGAACACAAGACAGCTTTACAGACTAATAAAAGAAACTGGAATTAATAAGTCAAGTGTAAGTGAGATTATTTCGGAAAAAGATGATACTCTCATCTGCTCCCAGTCCAGACGTTTAGAACGATGGGCGGAACATTTTAGAGAACAGTTCAGCTGGCCTTCAGCTACTCTACAACTACCCTCCATTCCCAGACAATGTGAATGGAACATTGAAGTAGGTCCCCCAACTCTTGCTGAAGTTCAAAAGGCAGCTGGTCCAGATGGATTGGCTCCAGAGGTCTTTAAGGATGGTGGTCCAATTTTAGCGATTAGGTTGACTAACATTTTAGCTAAGATCTGGGAATTAGACTTTATCCCATCTGACTGGTCGCAATCACTTATCGTCCCAATATATAAGAAAGGGTCAAAATCATCCTGTGACAACCACAGAGGGATAAGTTTAACAAACATAGTATCTAAAATATTAGCCTCGATAATTATCAGACGCCTAACTAAGACTCGTGAACTACAAACTCGAGAGAACCAAGCTGGCTTCAGACCTGGTCGTGGCTGCATCGACCACATATTCACCATTCGTCAGGTTCTAGAACACAGGCATACCTATCGGCGTCCGACGATGGTGGTCTTTCTTGACTTAAAAGCAGCGTTTGATTCTGTAGACCGCGAGACTCTGTGGCAGTGTCTGTCATTGAAAGGCGTACCTCAGAAGTACATAAACCTTGTGAAGGCTCTTTACTCGAACACTACTAGTCGAGTCAGAGCTTATGGCGAACTGTCATCTACTTTTGCAACTTCAAGTGGTGTCCGTCAAGGCTGTCCACTTTCTCCATTTTTGTTTAACTTCATCATAGACCTATTGATGGAAATAACACTCTCGTCGACTGAATTCTCGAGTATTGATCTCCTTCCAGGAGGTCCACTTATCGACTTAGAATACGCAGATGATATAGTCCTGTTTGGTAAAGAGGCTGACAAAATGCAGAGTCTTCTGGTAGCACTAAGCAACAATGCCAGAATGTTTGGGATGCGCTTCTCTCCCTCTAAATGCAAGTTGTTGCTTCAGGACTGGTCTGCGTCAACACCTGAACTAAGGATAGGGAGTGAAGTAGTCGAACGCGTCGACAACTTCACTTATC